CATGGCTGCTGCTTAAGCAGCTTCATCCCACTATGTGATCATTTTATGGGTTATCAGAAGCTAAGAAAATATGTGTTGTGGCCATTTCTCACCTCACAATTCAATGCATAGAACAACAAGAAAATATTTTTTTTATATTTGGCTATAAAGCTGTTATAAAAAAATTTGAAAAATAAAGCTCCAAAATTTGCCCATTTGGTATGTTACTGCTTTTTTTCCTTTGCTTTTTTTTTTTTTTTTTTTTTTTTTTAATTTAACACCTGTTTTCAAATTTCAACTGCAGAAAAGCTGTGTAAGCTGTGAGGAAGGTGCTCAGAGGTTACTCCCAACATCGAGCTCCCCTAGTGGCTGCTTCCCTCCCACCGTTCCCGTGGACAGAAACACCTCGGTTGGGATTTTCCCCATTCATGACCAGAAGGAAGTAGCTGCAAAAGGGATGCGGATTACAATCCAAGAAGGAACAAAACCAATATACTCACTCCCACCTGGGACTTTTGGAATGAGAAACTGTTGGGTTATTCAAGGAGAAATGAAAAGACCTAAAAGAGAAATGTAAGGGTTTCTCTATAAACCTATGATCAGATTATACATATTGCCCTGATGAAGATAAAGGAAACCTCTGGGAAATTCTGCTTTAAAGTTTGGTTCAACAGCAAATACACAACAAAACCTAGATAACAATGTCTTATGAATCATTCTGCCTACAAAAATTTTTGCATGTATGATGAAAGGCTCTATTGACCATATCCAAGACAATGATTAGCATTAATCCACTAGCAAATGGATACAAAAACTGCAAAATCAATGCACGGTTATTCTGGAAGGCAAATATTTTCTACTTCTCCATACACACAAAATGTTCTTTTTCTTATAACAGAAATGCTCACAGACTAATGCCAGACTAAGGGCACAGCAAAGCAATACCAGGTTTCATCTGCATGGCTCCCTGAATTTTGCTGTCAAACCAAAATGTGTGGAAAACTACGAGCTTAATTTTTCTTGTTGGTGCCAGAGTTTTGGGGTTTTTGGAAGAAAATACCAAAGAAGAAGACTTGTTCTGCTTGTCATTATATAGTTGCCAAATGGGCAGTAATTCTGCACCGAAATTTCCAAGTTGATTTTCAAGATAGGTATTGCAATACCACGAGAATGGGCAACAGGGATGTGCACTAATTCCTTTAATGAAAATGGATTAACACTGCCATGAAGGATGGTGGGGTATATAAAACAATCAAACAAAACTTCAGGTGAAAATCCTGAGTGTCCTTCTATTTACATCAGTTTTACTCTAGTATAACCTTTGTTTTCGCTGAAGTTATTCACGATCTGCTTCTTTGCCAATGATTGCTGTGATCCCAAATTTCTTGAGAAGCGCCACAGGTGCAAAGAGGCTACAAGAATGAAGGTTTCATGCTCTAAAAATGGAAAATTTATTTTAAAAATTATACATTAAGCATGAGGACAAATGTTGGCTATTAAGGATGATAAATAGCTAAGATCCAGTTAAAAGTCACACTGCATTTACATGTGTAGTTTTCTGTATTTTGAGATTCAGCCAAAATATATCAGTGCAAGGAAAATCTGTAGTTCAAGAGGTTCCAATGAGCAACCTCTCTTGTGCAGTCTGAACCCTTCCTTAGCTTTATGCAGAGCCCACAGCCATCAGCAAATCTAGATTTCATAAAAAAAGAAGACAAATAGTGTCTCATTCTCAAAGAGCTTGTCTGGGGGTTGGGTGCATCCATCAGTGCCCCTCTGCAGGCCAGGCTGGATGGGGATGGCCCAGGACAGTGCTGGCAATGGCCCCATCCGTGCCACCACAGCGGGAGCTTCCATGGGTTTGGCTGAGCCCCTGGAACAGCCTGTGCGTCAGCGAGGAGTGCGGGACCACGGGGCTGTGCTGGCTGCTTGCACTGGCACTCAGTGCGGTCCATCGTGGATGCTCCACCACGGTGGGACTGTGGTGTGGATGAAGGTCTGGATGAGCCAGGGATGCCAGCAGGGCTTTGGGGGCTGCTGAGGAGCCTGGCGGCAGCTCCACAATGGACCTGGCGCTGTGGGCAGAGCAGGGAGCGGAGCAATTCCACTTAGGGGCCTCCCTCAGGGGCCTCCCCAGCACCCCCACGCTGGGCAGCCCTGCGGGACCCCGGGGCCCATGGGGACCGCAGGGGCTGAGGGCTCTGGACCCTCCAAAGAAGACGTCGGTGCCGGCCGGGGGCTGCTGCAGCTTTGGGGTGCTTGCTGTGGCGGAGGTGTGGGGCGGGCAGGGCTCGGCTCGGGGCTCCCCGGCAGCCCGGGGCCGGGGCTGGGCCGGCGGGCCGCGGGCAGGGCCGGGACCCCCGCCCCCCGCGCTGCTGGGAGTGCGGAGCGGGGACGTGGGGGCTGTTGTTTTCCCAGAAGCTGTGGCATTTAAATAATAATTAAAAAGAAAGAAGAAAAGCTCCTGGCGGGGAGGAGAGGCAGGGCGCATCCCGGAGGCTCGGCGGGGCGGGCGGGAGCGCCGGCCCGGTTCCCCCGGCTTCTCCCGGTGTCCCCCTCGCACCGCCGGCTCCCCCCGCCCGGCTCCCGGCGGGGCCGCCGCCAGCCCCAGCCTGCGCTGAAGCTGAGCAGAGCCTCCCCGCTCCCCCAGCTCTGCTTTCTTTCACATCTAATTTGATAGGAGGGGGATTTCGAGCTTCCCACAGTTACAACTTTTCTTGATTTCTCCCTTCCACCCCCCCCGCGCATTTATTACTTGCATTTAATTAATTCCTTCTTTGCGTTTCCTTCCCTGTTAATCTTTGGGTGACTGCTTTGTACATATGGCAATCTGATAATGAGGGAGTTTGTCCTTATTCTCTAGACTTCTTCACTGCGATGTCCACCCATCTAGTGCCTGGGATATCGATCTTCTTTCCATGGGGAGGGGAACAAGGTAAGAGGGGTGATAAAAGTTTTGCAGTATTCCACACCATTAAGAATAGCTTTTATTCCTTGGCGCTGTTTAATCAACTGTTATATCAAGTCATGCTGTTTAGGCAACCACATCAAAAGAACATACCCTCTTTTGTATAAATTATATATTCCTTGTATCTGTCTTCTCGCATGCACGCAGACAGGGAGATAAAACTTAAGTTTGTTTTTTAATAGCATGAAGCAGGTATTTAGCTGTTATACAACTTGTTTCTGCAACTAAGTTGGTTGATAACAACCTAGGAGCCAAGCTGCTGAGTTTCAAACTTTTTACCCATTTCCAAGTTAAAACTCCTCAATTTAAAGGTGGGAAAGAGAAATCGATGACTCACTGGAACTCCACAAAGAAACATAAATAGCAGAAGAAAAGCATGGGCTAAAAAAGATGAAAGAGCACCAGTTAGAGTCGGCATGAGACCACTTCGGACCACTTCTTTCGCCTCTTTTCTAAAGTTTACCTGAAAAGACCACTTTGTCCCTTTAAATGTCCGTGCTGACCTGCTTGTTGCAGTTTACTGATATACAACTTTTTTACCACTTAAAAACTAATTTTAAAATCCATTTTCAAGGTTTACGTTGATAACTACTCACCTCAATGTCACAGACCGGAAAACTCCCATATAATTGTTCACCCCAAAGAGCACTTTTTATTTCTTTTTTTTCCTTTTTCTGTCTCTTTTTCTTTTTTAAACATCACAACTTAAATAAAGTTTCTAATTTTTTTGGATGTGTTTTGTTTTTCTGAGAAAGTGGACTTTGAATTACTTTAGCACACTGTCCTGGAATTTTTAAGAACTCCTAAAAAAACTCCTGAAACTTTCTAGACCCTAGGACAAATTGTATTTTCTTAGGAGCAAAAGCAAATGAGCACTTTGCAGGCAGAGAAGTGTTTGTTCATATGGAACTCTACATTTCTGTCTAACCTGCTCTATCAGCCTCATCTCTGCAATTTTGCTCGTCTCTCAACACCTTTGTCTGATTAGTAGCTTTTGGAGATCGGGATAAAGACATCACTTGCCACGCTGCATGAGATAACAATTAATTTAACATTAAACTTATCCCCTTTCCATTCACTTTGCTTGGATCGATCTCTGTTAATTGTGTTTGCGGATGCTTTCAACACTATGCTTTTCTTAAAAACTTAATGACACCCCGCAAGGAGGTGTAAGAGTCTAAAACGCTCCTCTCCGACTTTGACCAAAGAAACAAAGAATATAGCCCCAGCGTGCTCAGGAGACCATCTATTTTTAATCAGTTGACTATTCGTGCATTTCCGAAGATACAACGTTATTTTAAACTGGGTGATAGTCCTGATTTTATTAAAAAAAAAAAAAAAAAAAAAAAAAAAAAAAAAAAGTGCCACATTGCAGTTGTGTGATACACAAGTCAGACACACTAACTTCATTTAACTGCCGCTTCGCATCAGACCTGTTTCTGCTATTAAAGTGGTCATTTATCAGCTAAAAGGCGAGTGTGTTTAAAAATGTATGTCTTTGGGAGGGAGAGCAATCTCCCTTTTCAGGGGCAAGAAACCTGTTACAAAGCCATTTAGGTGGGTGCGCTCTGAAATTATTCCCCCCCGGGGCGTTAATATTACCAAGTATGTTCCTATTTGCACGGCTCCCCGATAATTCGGCATTTTATTTAACCACAACTGCCCTTAGAAGCTTGATTTGCACTGAAGCAGCCTGCTAATCTTAATTTTTTCCCCTCTTTCAGAGAGGCATCTGTTCCTCTTGCTGACAAATGTACCATTCTGCCAAGAAAGTTTTTGGAGGAAAAAAAAAACAGAAGAAGAAAAAAAAAAAAAAAAAAAAGCGTGTAATTGATGTTATCCCAAGAAAGCGCGATCTCCACCCCTCTCAGCTCCAAGCCCTTCAGGTAAAAGGAAAAAAAAAATCTTTCAAGAATTTGTTGCCTTTTTGAGGGTTAAAACATCAGAAGACAAGCTTGTCTCGCCTTGGCCAATCAGCTCTCGGCCCTGGCAGCTATAATATAGAACTAAAGGCAGACTCCTCTCACAAGCGTCTTGCTTTGCTACCATTAAAATCAGACCCTTTTTTTGTCTCTCGATTGCTGTCTCCCGACCAAACTCCGATGTGTTCCGTTATCAGCGACCTAAAGCCTGCCATTCCAGCACCTGTCTTGCTAGGGATCGGTGGATAGTATACGATTCAGAAAGCAGACAAGGACATAGGAGGAGAGAGAGCTCTAGAGAGACAGCCAGGGATAGGCACAGAGAGCTTTGAAGTAATTGGATTCAATGGACGAAATGCTGCTGTTGACAAGAATTCTCTTGGTGGGCTTCATCTGCGCTCTTTTAGTCTCCTCTGGGCTGACTTGTGGACCAGGCAGGGGCATTGGAAAAAGGAGACACCCCAAAAAGCTGACCCCTTTAGCCTATAAGCAGTTTATTCCCAATGTGGCAGAGAAGACCCTAGGGGCCAGTGGAAGATATGAAGGGAAGATCACAAGAAACTCCGAGAGATTTAAAGAACTAACCCCAAATTACAACCCTGACATTATTTTTAAGGATGAAGAGAACACGGGAGCTGACAGACTGATGACTCAGGTAGAGCCACAGAGATACCTGTATTTGTGTTTGTTAACCTCTCTGAGCAATCCTAAAGGACGCATCTGTCTTAGTATTTTTGAAAGCCCCCCCCTTTCCCTCTCCCCCTCCTCCCCCCGCCCCTCCAAACTCGACTAGTTTCCCCATTGAATGTAAATACCATCTATCCGGCCAAGTTAGCAGGGGCTGGAGCTGGAGCTGTTTAGATATTTGGTGGGGGAATTTGTGTGATACTTACAGTCATTACCGTGCCATGGCGTTCCCTGTAACTTGGTTAGAGATTGCTGTTTGCATTTGTCCCCAAGGATGCACTTTGATCAAACGAATTGCATACAGCTCAGAGGACCCCAAGTGTATAGTGACCGCCAGGCCACCCACTCATTATTACAAAAGTAGTCCGCGGTTGCTGCGCCTGCTGACTTGATTTTTTCTCTATATATTTTATTTAATTTCTCTTTTTTTTTTTGTTTTAATTTCATTTTAACCTTCATTATTATTATTGTTCTCCTCGCGAGCATATTCTAAATTTAGTAGGCATGCAGTCGTGCACTCACAAAAGGCAGCTGAAGCCGGATCGACCATTCCTCATCTGATTCCGTATTATATAGCTCGTATTGCAATACCATCATTTGCAATTGTGCCCATCAGAGCGTAAATATATTGATATTTCTTTAAGGATGCTCGCCGCCAATGCTTTGGTACTTCCATAGGGGAGGGACTTGCAACTTATCGGCATTGCATCACCTTCTGTTTTAAAAAATCTGATGGCACAAGGTTTACAACTGGGTAAATATTGGATTTCGGGTGGAATCGGATTGCGGAACTATTTTATGAAAAAAAAAAAAAGAAAGAAAGAAAGGAAAAGATAAAGGTGAGAGAAAGAGAGAGAGAAAGAGAACCGCTCCGAGAGTCACCTCGTAATTATAATTCATGCTCAACAGAGAGCTCGGTGAAGTCAATTGCTCTGCCAATCCCGGAGTTTCAGAAACTACATGCAATCTAGACACTGGAAATGGGTTTCCTCCAAATATAGGTCAACAGCGCTTTTTTAATATTAATACATTTAAGCCCCACCTTCAGTGCTAGAGCAGGACTCGCCTGGAAGGACTAGGCGGGGAGTGGACGCGGCGAAGGGGGGGTGGGGGATGGAATTTCCCAAACTCTCCCCGTTCCTCGGCCTGATTTTCCGCACGTTGCCGGGTCTCCCGGGGCGGGGGACCGGCGGCCGCCACCATCTCCTCCCGACCACCTTAAATCGCACCGCACCTCGGAGCGCGGCGGCGCCTCCGCCCGCCGCCGCCGGGGGGGGGGGGGGGGGGGGAACGCAAACAGAGGTAGGAAAGTCAGGTTCTCAACTTTGCAGGTGACACCAGCAGTTTGCTGAGGGCTCCCCCCTTCCTCCCCTTCCTTCCCCCCCCCACCCCGGCCATTGGCTGGATTGGGGAGAGAGATAAGGAGGCCAGGTCAGTATGATAAAGCTGGAATTTGTATGAAATAAAATAGCAATCTCGTGTAATGCAGGCACACAACCAGCGCGTGATGTGAGGAATTTAGAGATCAACTTGGCATTTAGGAAGCCCACCAGGTTGTTTACACTGACAGGTACCTGTTAAGTGTTTCCTTCAAGCAATTCATTTGTGAAGAGATTAGGAGCTGGCAGGAGAGGGCTTGTTGAACAACTTTGCCTCCACACAAAGCGTTAGTGGAGGCAGCCCTGCTGAGCTTCACGGTGGCTGAACAGAATTGGGCTTGATTTGTGGCACACGACCCGATGAATTAATAAATAGTCTGGGCTTCACGGCTTTTGACTCTGACAATCCAGCTCAGGCAGTATAAAAGGGAAAAAAGTCCTTTAGGAGGCCGTTTCTTCTTCTTTATTTCGCCTGGAGCCGGGAAATGGTGCTGGCAGGGCCGGAGCGGCCAGAGCCCCTCGGCGCTGCCCGCGCCCGCTCCTCCCGTGCGGGGCAAGACATCGCCGTGTCGCGCAGTGCTGTCGCCTTATCAGCAGCTGAGACGTTTGATCCTTCTCCCCCTTTCCCCTGTAAATCAGTGATGGAGCGTATCTATCCACTCAAGTGTGAGAGGGAGAGAGGGAAAAAATAAAATAAATCAAACTCAACTTCCTTGTACTACTGCACTTTGCTGCCGGGAACGGTGCCGAAACCCAAACACCCATCTCTCTCCATAAAACGGTAGGCCAGAGAGTCCAAAGTGAGCTCATGACTGTGTTTTATATCTCTCGGGGACTTTTATATCTCTTTATATCAATCTGTGTTGCTGGAATCACTTTTATGGCTGTTGGTAAACACTTGGGAACTTCCTTGCTAAGCAACCTTCTCACGTCCCTAAAAGTAGCGTGGTTGGAGTAATGGAGGGGCTTTGCCTTCCTGGGAGCTGTGAAAGGGGGATTTTGTGCTCTGTTATTGGCTGTGCTGTGAGCACACTGGGGAGAATGGTCCTGCAGAAGGCCGAGCATACCGGTCAGGCCAGCAAAAGTGTGGGAAGAGCAGGTTACTGCATCCCGCCGTGGCTTCCAGCCACATCGGCATTTGCATCAAGAGAGCAACGGCGGGTATATGCACTAGTTGTCTTCCTCTCAAAAAGGAGGAAGAAACCTGGCAACGTGTGTGCTTCTAACTCTGTACCTTTAGTCAAGTGCTTTTCAATGCTTTCGGTGCTGATTTCTTGCCGGGCTGAGTCCTTTTCCCCTGTCGCTACTGTGTCTATTCCCTGGCTGGCTAAGATGGGATTCTCCCCAAAACTTTCATGGTTTCAGCTCATCTCTTTTCCTCACTTTCCCCTGTCCTGTGTCCCTTATTACTTGATGCCTATGTGCTCCCGGTGCTGCTGGGCCCAGTTCAGCGCAAGGAAGGCTGGTGGCTCTGGAGGGTCAATGAAAAACCCTGCAGTACTTTCTCCAAGGAGTTGGAAGGGTTTCACTCCACACAAAGGGGCTCCTAGCTTGCATAGCATCCCTGCTCTGCTTAACTTCCCTCCTTGGCCCTCCCTTGCTTTTCATCTTCCCACTAAGAGCTATATTATTGTATGGATTTGCTCGGCTTTGTAGGCGAGCGCCGATGTATATTTGAAGCAGAGTGAATGCTCCCAGCCCATGCAGCTTTGAGGGCTCTAATGAGTGATGGGCGAAGGGAGAGAAGAAAAAAACCACCCCTCCCTCCAGCACATAAAGGCTGTTAACATGTATTGATACCCTTTTCAACACAGAATTAAGCTGAAAAGGCCCGCAGAGACATTCCGGGGGGGG